CCCGTTGTGGGACTCGATCCCGGGACTCCAGGATCATGACCTAAGCCGAAGGCAGTCGCTTAACCAACTGAGCCACCCAGGCGCCCAAGATTAAGATTTTTAAAATCCAAAGAATGTCACTATATTCCTAGAAGAGATGCTTATTTCCGTCAATAACAAATTCCATCTTCACAGCAGTAAAAGGAAGTGGATTGATGGTGAAATCCATTGTTATTTCAGGCTCCAACCAGTAGGTGGAATCAGAGTACAAGGGACCCATCCAAGCGAAAAAGGGTGTTAGAATAGGACAAAGCAATTATTTTAAAAGGCATGAACAGAAATGGAGAGTCACATATGCACAGACATTAGGAAGCATCCTTTCAGACAGATTGTTACCTTTGGGCTAGAAGGCTAAAGGGAGGTAACAATCTTTGTGAAAGAAGTTTTAAGAAACTAAGCTAAAATGTCATTTGCCCCGGTTGTTCAAACATGAACTTAACTCATGGCAGAAGGATGACCTAAGTGACTTATTCAGATTCTTTTCATTTCACTGATTTTTTAAAAAAATTAATCTCTACACCCCGTATGGGGCTTGAATTCACAATCCTGAGATGAAAAGTTGCACGCTCCACTGACAGATCCAGCCAGGTGCCCCTCATTTCACTGATTTTATTCAATCTTTTTATATACCTCCTACATCTCTAACATCCCCAGTGGTTGGCCAGTCTTTCAAATGCACCCAGACTCCTAAGAAGTAATTGAAGGACAATTAAGAATTTTTAAATGTCTTCAGAGAAAACTTTCTAAGTAGAGATTTTGATTAAGTATGCTTGCTTCCCTGCCAGCTGGGGAGCTTTAAGATGGGGCCAAGTGAACTAATGAGGCAAATGCAAAATACTATGAACATTCTAGTGACATCAAAAAAATGAGGAAGGCGCCTGGGTGGCTCAGTTGGTTAAGCGTCTGTTCGGCTCAGGTCATGATCCTGGAGTCCCAGGATCAAGTCCCGCATTGGGCTCCCTGCTCAGCTGGAAGTCTGCTTCTCCCTCTGACCCTCCCTCCTCTCATGCTCTCTCTTTCAACTAAATAAATAAAATCTTAAAAAAAAAAACAAGATAAAGAGGAAATATTAGAAACAATGTTATGACAACATATTTGACAACTTATCTAAATGAGGACATTTTTTGAAGATACAAACTACAAAGCTCTTTAAAAAAAATAGATAATGTAACTAGTCCAATATACATTAAAGAAATCAAATTTGTATTTAAAAACCCTCCCACAAAGAAAACTCTAGGCTCATATGGATTCCCTGGTGAATTCTACAAATATTTAGAGAAGGATGATAGCAATTCTACACCAGCTTTTCCAGAAAATAGAAGAGGGAATACTTGACAGTATACATGGAATGCTACTCAGCAATAAAAATAAATGAACTATTGTTAGATGCAAGGTGAGAGAGTACATACTTGCCCTGTTCCTGGGCTTAGGAGGAAACCATATAATGTCTCACTGTTAAGTGTGATGCTAGCTATAAGTTTTTTGGGTAGATGCTCTTTGTTAGGTTGAGGAAATTTCCCTCTCTAGTTTGTTTAGAGTATTTTCTTTTTCTTTTTTTTCTTTTTTGCTTTTAAAAATTTTAATCAAGAATGGGGGGTGGATTTTGCCAAATGCCTTTTCTGCAACTATTGATATCGTATTTTGATATAATGGATGTGATGGATTACACTAATTGATTTTGGAATTGACTCAACCTTGCCAGGTGTCCTTTATCCAGTCAAAGGAGTTTCCTTCTATTCTTAATTTATTTATCATGTAAGGATATTGGATTTTGTCAAATACTTTTTCTGCAACTCATGTTGAGATATTCATGTGGCTTTGACTTTTATTCTATTCATATGATATATTACATTCTTACATTGATTTCTGGATGGTAAATTAACTTTGCACTCTTTTTTTTTTTTAAGATTTTATTTATTTATTTATTTGACAGAGAGAGAGACACAGTAAGAGAGGGAACACAAGCAGGGGGAGTAGGAGAGGGAGAAGCAGGCTTCCTGTGGAGCAGGGAGCCCGATGTGGGGCTCCATCCCAGGACCCTGGGATCATGACCTGAGCCGAAGGCAGACGCTTAATCGACTGAGCCACCCAGGTGCCCCTAACTTTGCATTCCTAAGGTAAATCTCACTTGGCCATGGTGTATAATCCTTTTTATATAAAGTTACATCACTTTGCTAGTATTTGGTGGGATTTTTTTAATCTATATTCATAAGAGATATTGATCTATAGTTTGTGATGTTTTTGTCAAGTTTTGGTAATACTGACTTCATAGTAATACCAACTTCACATACTCAGTTGAGTAGTATTCCTTACTCTTCTATTTTTTAGAAGAGTTTATGAAGAATTGGTGTTAATTCTTTAAACATTTGGTAGGATTTATCAGTAAGGTCCCTGGGCAGGGTTTTTCTTTGTAAGAAATTTTTATTACAGGGGGTGTCTGAGTGGCTCAGTCAGTTAAGCAGCTGCCTTCGGCTCATGTCATGATATCTGGGTCCCAGGACTGAGTCCCAAGTGGGGCTCCCTGCTCAGCAGGGAGTCTGCTTCAAACTTTCCTCTGCCCTTCCCCCCTGCTCATGCTCTTGCTCTCTCCCTCTGTCTCTCTCAAATGAATAAAAAATCTTTAAAAAATTTTATTACTAACTCAATGTCTTTATTTTTTTATATACCTATTTCAGATTTTCTATATTACCTTGAGTCAGTTTTGGTAGTTTGCATTTTTCTAGGAATCTGTCTATTTTTTCCAGATTATCTAATTTGCTGACATGTAGTTGTTCATAGTATTCTCTATTAATCTTTTCTATCTCAGTAAAGTCAATAGTAATGTTCCCTATTCCATTCATAATTTTAATGAGTATTCTCTCCACCACTCCCACCCACACTTTGGTCAGTTTAGCTAATGGTCTATCAATTTTGTTGTTCATTTTAAAGAACCAACATTGTTTTGTTTTAATTTTCTTGATTGTTTTTGTATTCTCAATTTCATTAATTTCTAATTCTAGTATTTATTATTTCCTTCCTTTCACTTGCTGGGGATTTATTTTGCTCTTCCCTACTTAGTTCCTAAGGTGGAAGTTCAGGTAAATGATTTGCGTTCTTTCTTCATTTTTAATGTAGGTGTTTACAGTATACACTTACCTCTAACCATTGCTTTCACTATATAAGTTTCTGTATATTGTCTTTGTTTTTATTCATCCCAAATTATTTTTCAATTTCCTTGTGATTTCTTCTTTGGCCCATTGATTACTTAGATGTTGTTTAATTTCCAGATAGCTGTGAATTCCCCTAATTTCTTTCTCTTACTGGTTTGTAATTTCTTCCATTGTGGTTAGAGAATATAACTTGCATAATCTCAATCCTTTTACATTTATTGAGGCTTTTTTATGACATAGCATATGTTCTATCCTGGAAAATGTTTTGTATGTGCTAGAGAAAATTCTGCTGCTGTTGGGTATTGAAGTATTCCATAGATGTCTATTAAGTGTAACTGGTTTATACTACTGTTTAAGTCTTCTATTTACTTGTTGCTCTTCTGCCTGGTTCTATCCATTATCAAAAGTGGGTATTTTTTCTCTCTTTGATTTTGTCCATTTTTTTGTTTCATGCTTTTTGGGTTTCTCTAATTAAGTGCATATATAATTGTTATTTCTTCTTGATAGACTAATGTTTATCATTATGTCCTTTTTGTTCCTCATAACAATTTTTGTCTTAAAATCCATATTATCTGATATTAGTATGGTACCCTAGTTCTCTTTTGGTTACTATTTCATGGCATATCTCTTACCATCCTTTTACTGTGAACCTATTTTTCTTTGAATCTAAAATGACAACAAAATTGGATCACATTTCTTTTTTCCTTTTATATAGCCATATGCCAATTTCTGCTGTTTGAGAATTTAATCTGCTTACATTTAATGTAATAAAGCATAAAGGAGGATATATGTTGGGGCGCCTGGGTGGCTCAGATGGTTAAGCGTCTGCCTTCGGCTCAGGTCGTGATCTCAGGGTCCTGGGATCGAGTCCCACATCGGGCTCCCTGCTCCGCAGGAAGCCTGCTTCTCCCTCTGCCTCTCTCTCTCTCTGTCTCTAATGAATAAATAAATAAAAAATCTTTAAAAAAAAAAAAAGGATATATGTCTGCCATTTTGCCATTTACTATATTTTTTTTCATTCCCCAGTTCTTCCATTACTGCATTCTTTTCTGTTGGGTAGATGTTTCTATGGTATTGTTTTAATTTTCTTATTGTTTTACTATATATATATATATTTTTTTTTAAGATTTTATTTATTTATTTGACACAGAGAGAAATAGTAAGAGCAGGAACACAAGCAAGGGGAGTGGGAGAGGGAGAAGCAGGCATCCTGCCAAGCATGGAGCCTGATGTGGGACTTGATCCCAGGATGCTGGGATCATGACCTGAGCGGAAGGCAGACACTTAACAACTGAGCCACCCAGGCACCCCTTTACTATATATTTTTAAATTATTTTCTTAGTGGTTGCTCTGTGGATTAACATTTTAATTGACAGCAATCTAACTTGGATTAATATAGATTTAATTTCAATAGTTTACAAAAACTGTATATATATATGTATAGCTCCACACCACCCCCATTTTATGTTATATAATTTTAATTAACCTATCCTCGAGTTTGCTGATTCTTTATTATTCCTCCTTAAAGCTCCTTTAGTGCATATCTCATTTCAGATATAGTATATTTCAACTCCAGAAATTTTATCTGGATCCTTTTAATACCTTTTATCTTTTGGGGCACCTGTGTGGCTCAGTTGGTTAAGCATCTGCCTTCGGCTCAGGTCCTGGTATCAGGGTCCTGGGATCGAGCCCCACCTAGGGCTTCCTGCTCAGGGAGGAGTTTGCTTCTCCCTCTCCTTCTGCCCCTCCCCCCAGCTCATGCTCAAGCACGCACGTGCTCCCTCTCTCAAATAAATAAATCTTCTAAAAAAATACTTTTTATCTTTTTATTGATATTCTCAATTTGATGAGACATTGTTCTCAAACATTATTTTATTAGTTCTTTATAGTTTTCTCTTAATTCTTTGAACATATTTTAAATAGCTGGTTTAAAGTGTTTGTCTACTAATCATTTGCTCTTCCCTCAGGTACAGTTTCCATTGAATGCTTTCTTTCCTTCTATGTATGGACCATAGTTTCTTTCCATATGTCATAATTTTTGGTTGAAAATGGGGCATTTCTGGAATGCCTGGGTGGCTCAGTCGCTTAAGTATCTGCCTTCAGCTCGGGTCATGAGCCCAGGGTCCTGGGATAGAGTCCAGCATCAGATTCCTTGCTCAGCAGGGTGTCTGCTTCTCCCTCGGCCTGCTGCTTCCCCTGCTTGCGCACTCACGCACTCTCTCTCAATCTCTGATAAATCAATCAATCAATCTTTAAAAGAAAAAGAAAAAGAAAATGGGGCATTTCAAACAATATAATTAAGCAACTCTGGAAATCAGATTCTTTCACCTTCCCAGGGTTTGTTGCTGTTGCTACGTGTTGTATTTGTTTGTTCAGTGACTCTTTCTGGACTGATTCTGTTTAGTCTGTATTTGTGTGTGTGTGTGTTGTTTGTGTGTAGAGCCACTGACGCCCCTACTCAGTTAGCTCAATGGTCAGCTGGTAACTGTGGAGAGAAATTTCCTTACATGCCTAAAAAGTAAATCTCTGTCTTTGCTGAGGGATCTTTGTGCATGTTGGAGCACATCTTCTACATTTACCCATGCAGTTTACAACTTTATCTTAGCGTTTATTTCCTGCTTGTACGTACTCACAAGGCCAGTCAGAAGTGAGAGCTTAGGACCTTCTCAGGTCTTTCCTGACCTTGTGAACAGCCCTACTCACGCATGTGGCCTCTTAGATCCCAGGAATATGTTGGAGTTTTCAAAGCCCATCTGGTCATCTCATTCCTCACCTTTTCCCTCTAATGACTTTTGGCTAATCTATTGTTTGCCCCAACTGTGACTGAGGCTTTCTTTTAAGTTGGTTAAGTGTGATGGAGCAGCCTTTGGTCTAGGGCAATTTTTTTCCCACTCCTGAAGCAATACTTTTCTGAGTTCTCTACTTTTTCTCCCATAATCTACTTAGTTTTTTCACTCTGGCTGGTGGGAATACTAATCCAAACCTCTCGTGAGCCCCAGGAACTGTGTCCACTAGTGCAGGTGGTTCTCTTCCTGTCCTTGGGTAGTTTCTTCACACACATGTGCTAAACAGTACTCATCCAAAAACTCGGGGAGATCCTCTGCAACCTCTGTACTCTGCAGCTCCTTCCTCTCTGGTACTCTGCTCTGGGAATTCTAGCGGTGCTGGTTCTCTAATTCTCAACTCCATTCCTTCAACTCAGTGAAACCACTAGGCCCCTGTTAGACTGCCTTCCCCTGCACTGTGATGAAGAAACTCCCCATGGAGTGTGCTGGCAATCACAGGGCTCACCTTAGTTGTTGTCCCTCTCTAAAGAATCATCTTCTGCTGATGTTCAATATTTATTTTATATATTATGTCCTTTTTATTAATTGTTTCAGATGGCAGGGTAATTCAGTCTCTGTTATTCCATCTTAGCAAGAAGTCTTCTTGCCTATGTTACTTCCATAGTCTCCCTGTTTCTACCTATGACTGTCCAGAGTCTATTATCAACAGTGTAGCTAAAATAGGTCTTTGTTTTTTTAGTCTTTTAAAATATAAATTAGATCATATTACTTTTCTGTTAAAAGTAGTGCATACAGGGTATTTACCACAAAGATACAAATGTAGTGATCTGAAGGGCACCTGCACCCCAATGTTTATAGCAGCAATGTCTACAATGGTCAAATTATGGAAAGATCCTAGATGTCCATCGACCGATGAGTGGCTAGAGAAGATGTGTGTGTGTATGTGTGTGTGTGTGTGTATATATATATATGTATGTATATGTATATATGTATGTACATATATATGTATGTACATATATACATGTATATATGTATATATACACATATATATGTGTATATATATGTATATATATACACACATACATATACACAATGGAATATTATGCAGCCATCAAAAAAATGAAATCTTGCCATTTGCAATGATGTGGTTGGAACTAAAGGGTATTATGCTAAGCGAAATAAGTCAGAGAAAGACAATTATCATATGATCTCACTGATATGTGGAATTTGAGAAACAAGGCAGAGAATCATAGCGAAAGAGAGGAAAAAATGAAACAAGATGAAACCAGAGAGGGAGACAAACCGTAAGAGACTCTTCATCTCAGGAAACAAACTGAGGGTTGCTGGAGTGGTGGGGGGTGGGAGGGATGGGGTGGCTGCATGATAGACACTGGGGAGCATATGTGCTATGGTGAGCGCTGTGAATTGTGTAAGACTGTTGAATCACAGACCTGTACCCCTGAAACAAATAATACATTATGTAAAAAAAAAAAAAAAAAAGTGTGCAGTGCAGGGGTGTCTGGGTGGCTCAGTTGGATAAGCGTCTGCCTTTGGCTCAGGTCATGAACCCAGAGTCCTGGGATGGAGCCCTGCATTGGGCTCCCTGCTCAGCGGGGAGCCTGCTTCTCCCTCTGACCCTCCCCCGTCTCACACTCTCCTCTCTCTCAAATAAGTAAATAAAATTAAAAAAAAAAAAAAAGTGTGCAATGCCTTGCAATTTCCCTCAAATTAAAACAATGCCTCCACAGTTATCCTAAATCCATGTTTAACTGGGCCCTTCATTACCTCTCTGACCTACTACTGCTCTGTCCATCCATACTCACTGCTGTTCCTCAAACATTCCAGGAACACTTTCAGCTTAATCACTTAAATTTATGACTTACTGTTTCCCCTGCTGTACTAAAAAGTAAATACTGGCAAGATGTTTTTGTTTTTCCCTATTTTAATCTAAGCAGCTAAAATAGTGCACAGTACACAGTAGACACTTTTAAGTATTTGTTGAATGAAAGTCACAGAGCATTTAGGGTATTAGGAAGGTTACAAAAATAGGCAGTCAGCCATAGGAAACAAAACAAATACAATTTTGAGTCTTGCCAGTAACAAAGGTTATTTGATGCCAAGTGTTATTGTTAAACAAGAGATATTTAATGTGTTTTACCAAAGACCAGAATTTAATCTAGAGATTCAGCTGAGATGGGAATAAAGTGACTCAAACTGTGGAAAGAGGATCTGATATTAAGCTCAGCTGGAAATGCCTCAAAAACATAATTTCAAAGGGCAAAAATGTCTAATATTCCTATTAGAACTGCAGACTGACTATATATCATCATCCTTTTTAAAAAACAATTTGTCAGGATTGTTAATGCTGATAGAGATGTGGTAAAATGAGCACTTTATGATCGAATTGTGATCCAAACATTTAATTTTTAAAAAATTGTGGTAAAATATACATAAAATTTACCCTTCGAACCATTTTTTTTTTTAAGATTTTATTTATTTGACAGAGACACAGCAAGAGAGGGAACACAAGCAGGGGGAGTGGGAGAGGGAGAAGCAGGCTTCCCGCTGAGCAGGGAGCCCGATGCAAGACTCGATCCCAAGACCCTGGGATCATGACCTGAGCCGAAGGCAGTCGGTTAAGGACTGAGCCACCCAGGTGCCCCCCTTTGAACCGTTTTTAAGTGTACAATTCGGTGGCATTAAGTACGTTCACATTGTTGTACAACCATCATCACCACCCAGTCTAATTCCTTCCTTTCCAGATGAGGGAGCTGAAGCTCCCCCAAATTAAGTGATTTATCTAGGGTTACTCAGTGAGTGGCTGAACCAGCACACAATACTATTTCCTGTCTCTCAATCCATTATTCTCTCCATTACATATGCTATTGCCCTCGATCATTCAATATACTAGACTCCTATGCCTGTGAACCTATAAGCTATGTTACCCCACCATCAGACAAGTTAGCATAAATCTGCCAGTCTATATACCATATTTTATAGTATAAAATATATTTATAATATATAATACACACAAAATATTAAATATATTTATTTTATATATTTTTACTATAAAGATACTTGTGTTAGGTTTCCAGTGCCATGTAACAAACTACCACAAGTTTTTGTGGTTTGAAAGAACACATATTATCTTACAGTTTTCATGGGTCAGGAATCTGGACACAAGTCTACTCAGATCTTACCTGAGCTGCAGTCTCATCTGAGGCTCAGGTTCCTTTTCCAAGTTCACTAGTTGGTTTAGACTTGACTCTTAGAGGTCACTGTTCCTTGCCATATGGACTTTTCCATATGGCAGTTTGTCTCTTCAAAGCCAACAAGACTCTCTGCTGATTCAAATCTGATTGCTCCTGTCCCTGTCCTCCAGATCTTTTTTTAATTGGCTCACCTGATTAGGTAGGGCCCACCAAGGACCATCCTCTTAATAACTTAAAGTCAACTGATTAGAGGCCTAAATTATAACAGCAAAATCCCATTACCCGTATCATGTAACATAGCCTAATCACAGGAATAATATCCCATTATAGTCAAAGGTTCCATTCAAGGAGGGGGAACTATATAGGGCATATACACTGAGAGGAATCTTGGAGGTTGTTTTAGAATTTTGCCTACTGCAATACTTAGTGGAAGATATTTCATTCTTCTTACTTCCTGAGCCTCCAGAGCTATTCCAAATAATTTCCCTTTACCAGATCATCATAAAATAGACCAAAATGCTTGAAATCCCTACTCTGATAGCAGTGACTAAGAGTTAACAAAAGGCTAGTGTGCTTTTCTATCTCGTGGAAGGTTAATTTCTCCAAATCTATGCCCTAACCTTTCAAATATTATTTGTCTCCATTAAGACAATGTTGTCTTTTTTTTTGTTTTTAAGATTTATTTATTTATTTAGAGACAGAGTGCATGGGGGGGGAAGGGGGAGAGGGAGAGAATTTTAAGCAGACTCCCCACTGAATGTGGAGCCCCATGTGGGGCTCGATGTCACAACCCTGAGATCATGACCTGAGCTGAAATCAGGAGTCAGATGCTCAATCAACTGAGCCACTCAGGAGCCACAAGACAGTATTGTCTTTATATTAATATTCCTCAACCATTTTCATTTCCTTCATCTCTTCTGTGTCTTCTGGTAAAGGAAACTGCCCCCTCCCTTTTATTGTTGTGGGAAACTCTGTGTATCAGGAGGGGCCGACCTATCTTGCCAACACTTGTTTATTAGTTATCCTAATAAGTGTAAGGTGATGATGCATTGTGGTTTGATTTGGACTTCATTGATTAGTGATGTTGAGCATCTTTTTCATGTGTTTATTGGCCATTTGTACATCTTCTTTGGAGAGATGTCTATTCAAATCCTTTGTCCATTTTTAAATTTGGTTGTTTTCTCTACTACTGATTTTTCTCTATTGTCTTTATATATTCTGGTTATTATTCTCTTAGCAGAAATATGATTTGCAAACATTCTTACATTTTGTGGGTTGCTTTTTCAATGTTGATATTATGCAATGTTTTTAATTGTTCACAAGTATTTTTTCTTTTCTCCATATCCCAGCAGAATTTTGGCTAGTGGAAGACAGATTATCCTGTATTTCTGTTATGTTATGATTGTTTGGTGCAAAGGGGAGAAATTCTAGGAGAGCCATTAAATAGCAATTATGTACCAAATGCTACTAGGATTACTCCCAAATAAAGGAAAAACTTGTCACTAATCATCTTTTGCAGATAAAAATTGGTGCAAAGAAAGTTTAACTTGCCCACAATCTCAGAACTAGTACATGGAGCAGCTGAGATTTAGAGTTTAACTTAATTTGCTCAGTATGCATGATGATACGTATCAAATGATTAGGCTAGGGTTATTAGACACTATTGGGCAAATAACAGACTTGTTCTTATTAGTTGACTTAACTGCGAACTCCAAGAACTGGGGGCGCCTGGGTGGTCTGCCTTTGGCTTTGGTCATGATCCTGGAGTCCCGGGATTGAGTCCCGTGTCAGGCTCCTTGCTCAGTCGGGAGTCAGCTTCTCCCTTCACCCCGCTCATGCTCTCTCTTGCACTCTCTCATAAATAAAATCTTAAAAAAAAAAAAACTCCATTAACTGGGAAATCCATATAAATCTGCCCTTAGGGATAATGTGTTTATGTAATCAAAAGTCAAGTCTGTTCAACCCAGACTAAGCCCACCATATACTACTTCAGGCTCTGTGGCACAGACGCCTTGCATGAAGTGGTGGAGAATTATGTTAATTACTCTGCTTATAAAATGAAATTATGTTTCTGACTTGCACTAACAAATATATATTAAATGTTTCTGACTAATGGCATGTTTTTGCTCAAACGGATTTTCCTGTAGATTTAGAGATGGAGTGTATATGGAAATAAAATTGAGGACTATAAAAACTGTTTTGGAAATACTGAATTGGTTGGCAGCCTTTTTCTTTTTGCGTTCATATGATCCCGTACCCTAATTAGGCCAAATATGGATTTTGAATCTATTCCGAGTGTGTGTTTAAATACTCCATTGATTTAACTGGTAGAAATGACTTTACTATTCCTGCTGGCACTGTATAGTTCCTAGATGTTAATGAGACTTTGCAATTCTTTAATCCTACCACATCCCTATTATGATCAAGTTATCCTCCATTAGACCTAGTACGACTCAGGTCAATATAAGCCTTCTGAATTATGGAAGTAAGCCAGTTTTTGTTTTGTTTTTACCTCTCCAGCAAAGCTCAGTTTCTGTTCAAATAATTTTCAACTGGTTATCCTAAGAAAATTTGTCAAAGTTTATTTTTTCTCATTTTCTTTTCTTGTCTTAGAATTCTTTTGTGGCATATAACAGAAAAAAAATTTTAGAAGGGAAACTTCATTTAAAGAATGCTGGAATATTTCATGTAACTAAGCCAAGAAAATAAATTACAACAGAAGCAAATAGAATTTTATGTAGCTGTTTAAAAAACTTGAGGTAGCAGTATACCTATTTGTATGGCAAGGTATTCAAAGACATGTTGTGAAGTTATGGTGCACTGTTTATACCATGATCCCATTGGGTTTAAGAGAAAAAAGACATGCAGGGTGTCTGCCTTCAGCTCACGTCATGATCTCGGGGTCCTGGGATTGAGCCCCACATCAGGCTCCCTGCTCAGTGGGAAGCCTCCATCTCCCTCTCCCTGCCGCTCCCCCTGCTTTTGTTCTGTCAGATAAATAAAATCTTAAAAAAAGAAAAAGAAAAAAGACATGCTTTTAATGATTTAGAAATTCTGGAAGGATATGCAAGAAAATGTTAACAGTAATTCCCTCCAGAGAGTAAGGTCAGGAGGGGGAGGGATCCTGGTGGATCTTCTTGAGACCCATTTGTTAGCCATGAGCACTGTGACAGCCATTGAAGTATTGAGGTTTGCCAGTCAGACCTCTCCTAAAACTTACTGTGAAAAATGTTGCTGGCTGGCCAGTCTCCAGCTGCTCCTCTTTTGGATCCACCTCAGCATTCAAGGCCACAGTCTTCCTGGCTTACTCCTAGCCAATGACTGCACACAGCAGTGGTACTGGATCTCAGGTACCTAATATACAGCCATTGATCTGGTAAATAAAAGAAGTTTTTTTTCTATCTTGAACAGAAGAGGACCAGAAAGTTTGCATTTACATGGAATGGAAAATAGTCACTTAGTTTTGCTCCAGGGATGTTAACCATTGAGCTTTTGATGATATAATTTAAATTATACATCATATGGACATTCCACAGAACATCACAATGACATTATGCCAACTGGACCAGATAAGCAAAAGTCAGCTTACCACACTGAAGGCCTTGTGGAGATATGTGTTTCAGAGGGTGGGAGATAAACTCTATAAAGATTTGAGGGTCTGCCATTCTTAGGAAGTTTTTAGGAGACCCAATGGTAAAGGGCATGCTGGAACAGCCCCTACAATGTAAAAGCTTGCTACATTTGTATCACCTGCTACAACGAAGCAAGCACAATACCTGGTGGTTCTCTCTGGATTCTGGAGGCAATACATTCCACCTAGAACAGTATTCCAACCCACATGCTGGATGATATAAAAGGTTAGTAAGTTTGAGTAGGGCCTGGATCAGAAAGGGATCTGTACAAGATTCAGGATGTGATCCAAGTAACCCTGCAAACTGGGGCCATATGATCTGCTCATATCCTGACCTGAGCTGAAGGCAGACACTTAACGACTGAGCCACTCAGGCGCCCCATTTTTTCTTTCCTTTTTTTTTTTTAAAGTAGGCTCCACGCTGGGCTCCAATGTGGGGCTTGAACTCACGACCCCAAGACCAAGACCTGAGCTGAGATCAAGAGTCAGACGCTCAACCACCTGAGCCATCCAGCCACCCCATCCCTTCCCTACTTTCTAAATTTTGATCTCTTTCTCACCTTTTTCAATAATTATCTCCTATTACAAATTCCCTACCTCTATGTCCACATGATCCATGCCTTTCTCATACCATCATTTGACCTTCACTTCCACACCAGCTTTTCTACCACCTTATGGTGGTGCACTATTTCCCTCAGACTTTCTTTCCCACTCCCTGAAACCCATCTTTTATTCTAATTCAGTCAAACTGTCTTCCCTGTCAACTCCCTGTTCCCACCCCATTAGCAGACTCCTCACAGAATCGTTGCTCTGCTCTGTCTCTGGCCTAAGTAGTAAGACACTCTCACCCACAGCCCGGACTGCACACGGGGACCCAGGAGCTGCCTGTAGCTGTACTTCCACATCTGCTCCTGGAAGCTGCTGGGGAGGTGAGAAGCCAAGGGAAACCCGTGGAAGGGAGAAGTACAACTGAGGGGTCAGGTCAGCCTGAAGAGAAGGCGAAACAATGTCATTTGGAACATCAGCCAATATGCCCCAACTCTGGCATTCAAGCCCATTCCTTCACTTTTATACTGATCTTTTTTTTTTTTTTTTTAAGTCTAGCCCTTTTAGAACTCCTCTCTTGTGGTACAATTGGAAAAAGCGAGCAGCATAACACAGAATAACATAGAAAGTTTGAGACAAAAACTAGAAAGAAAGAATAGCTTTATAGAATATACAAGTTCCCAGCACGACTTCTTAAAAAGAAGTGGGAGATAGATTTCAACAAAACATACTGAAGACATAAATACAACAATGACATCCACTTCAATATGATCTTCTTATTTCCCTGCCCCTGCCTGATCTCCAACCTCAGCATACATGTGATCTCTCTCTATGCCCAGACCTTTTCTTCACCTTCCTCAGCTGCCATTTTACCTGATTGTCAAACATCTCTACTGAGAACTGAATTTTGTCAGCTATAATGCCTCCACTGGGAAAAATGGCATAGATCACCAGGGAAGGGTCAGGGGCTAGTCTGGAAGTGAAGGTCAGTGAGAGGGAAAAGGAGCCTTTTGTTCCTGAAAAAGAAGAGGGGATGGGGCGCCTGGGTGGCTCAGTCGTTGGGCGTCTGCCTTCGGCTCAGGTCATGATCCCGGGGTCCTGGGATCGAGCCCCGCATCGGGCTCCTTGCTTGGCAGGAAGCCTGCTTCTCCCTCTCCCACTCCCCCTGCTTGTGTTCCTGCTCTCGCTAACTCTGTCAAATAAATAAATAAAGTATTTTTACAAAAAAAAAAAAAGCTCTTACAGACTGAAGGAAACCATGAAGAGGCAGCCTATGGAATGGTAGAAAATATGTACAAATTATATATTTGACAAGTGGTTAATAAAAATGGACAGAGGGCTTGAATAGAAATTTTTCCAGACACAAGCTACAAGTGGCCAACAGGCACATGAAAAAGTGCAACATCGCTAATCATTGGCGAAATGCAAATCAAAACCAAAATGAGCTATCACTTCACACCTATTAGAATGGCTATTATCAAAAAGACAAGAGAGAAATTGCTGGCAAGGATGTGGAGAAAAGGAAAAGCTTATACACTGCTGGTGGGAATGTAAATTGGTACAGCAACCATGAAAAACATTATGGAGGCCCCTCCAAAAATTAAATAGAACTACTATATGATCCAGTATCTGCAACTACATGTTCACTACAGCTTTATAAAAGCCATGGTATGGGAACAACTTAAAGTGTCCATCGGGGCACCTGGGTGGCTCAGTCATTAAGCGTCTGCCTTCAGCTCAGGTCATGATCTCAGGGTCCTGGGATCGAACCCCACATCGGGCTCCCTGCTCGGCGGGAGGCCTGCTTCTCCCTCTTCCACTCCCCCTGCTTGTGTTCCCTCTCTCGCTGTGTCTCTGTCAAATAAATAAAATCTTTTTTAAAAAAAAGTGTCCATCAATGAATGAATGGATAAAAATAATGTGGTATCTAGATGCAATTAGATGCAATGGGATATTATTCAGCTATAGAAAAGGAAATCTTGCCATCTGTGACAACATGGATGGAATTTGGGGGCATTATGCTAAATGAAATAAGGTCTGACAAAGAAATACTCTAATGATCTATGTGGAATCTAAAACACAAAAACTCATAGGAAAAAAGATCAGATTTGTGGTTGGTCAGAAGTGGATTTGCAGGGGGGGGGGCGGGGGGAGAGGGAGGATAGGTGAAGGTGGCCAAAAGGTACAAACCTCCAGTGATAAATGAGTTCTGGGGGTGTCATGTACAGCATGTTGACTACAGTTAATAATGCTGTATTGTAGATTTTAAAGTTTCTAAGAAAGTAGACCTTTAAAAATCTCTCAAGAAAAACATAACTGTGTGGTGATGGATGTTAACTAAACCCATTGTAGTAATTCTGCAGTATATACACATTGCAAATAATTGCTAATACCTTAAACTGATACAGTATTACATTTCAATTGTATCTCAGTAAAGCTGGGGGGTAGGGTATGAGGCAAGCAGCCCCCAGCTCCAACTCCTTATGTCACAGCATTTGTGTGGAGGCCCATTTCTCCTCAAGCTGCTCCTAGCATACTAGCCAGGCCACTTCTGTCCAATGCTGCACTGCCATAATGGGTAATCTGCTCTAACATTCCTCTATCAGGTTGGCCAGAGACTTTCTCAGGACAGCTTAGGTCTGATGCTCTTTCCATTCAATTTTCTTCTGTCATAGGTGTCCTATGCTTTTTCCTGGCAACTGTTCCCTCTCCCTTGTACCCTTCACTGCCATCTTCTTCAAACACCTCTAGCTCATCTAACTCCATCTTAATGTCTGCCTGTTGGAGGTTCCAAAGTAACACTAGCATGGATGCTTTAAACAATAAACTTTTTTAAAGATTGTATTTACTTGGGACACTTGGGTGGCTCGGTCAGTTAAGCGTCTGCCTTTGGCTCAGGTTATGATCCCGGGATCCTGGGATCGAGTCCTGCATCGGGCTCCCTGCTCAACGGGGAGCCTACTTCTCCCTCTGCCTGCAGCTCTCCCTGCTTGTGTGCTCTCTCTCTCTGATAAATCTTTTAAAAAATAAAAAATTAAGATTGCATTTATTTATTTCAGAGAGACAGTGGGGGAGCAAGTGAGAGTGGGGGGAGGGGCCAAGAGACAGGGAGAAAATCTCAGACTCAAGCACAGAGCCCAACAGGGGGCTGGATCCCACAACCCTGAGCTGAAGAAAGACGCATAACTGACTGAGCCACCCAGGCTCCCCTGAGCTAAGATTTTTAAAAAATATTTTTAAGGAGTTATCTTATAGGTGGTTGTAGGTCACCAAGAAAATTTAAAATTTTATGACTGAATCAGATTAGACCACCAGGAGGGTTTCTTACTGTGCTGGCTTTAATGGATTATATTTTAGTGTCACAGTACTGATCTACATTGTGGGATATCTCAAGATCAGAACATATTGCCTCTCCTGTGCAATAAATTTGCTTCTATCTTAAGGTTACTAAGAATCTTCTAATTATCTTTAACATTATTTTAGAGAGCAAGAGAGAGTGAGCACGCAAGTAGAGCTCAATCTCACAACCCTGAGCCAAAATCAAGAGTCGGGCGCCCAACTGACTAAGCCATGCAGCCCCCTCCTCCCGTAATTTTCTTATTCCACTCTTTGCCGATTTTGTTCCACCTCTAAGCAAATGTAAAGACCTGATAGTATGTATTTGCATGATTTTAATCCTTGTTTCAACCTATCTTTGCCCTTTATTTTGGCTTCTCTACCGTTTGATTTAATACATCTCTGTTAAGTCACATTAAATCATTTTTAGGAAACAAGTCACACTATCCTAAATTATTCCTTATGGTGCATGGTGTGCATATTCCTCACTTGTTTAATTCTCCTGATTTATAAGAAAAAGTATTTTTGTTATGAGCTGATAGGGAAAAATTGGAGAAAGTATGAAATAAAAGGTTTCTTATATAAAATTCCTTAGTCAATGAAGTGTGGAGACAAGGAATAATTAGTCTAGGAGAAATGCCACAAATGTGCACATGCACATACATGCATACACACTATGTTCCAACCACAAAATCTTATGAAAGGGGCTTAAGTAAGAACACCAAAAAGTAATCAATAAAGAAAATCATATGTACTTCAATTCTGAGATGAAAAGATTT